GGCTGAGGGGGGGCCTGCGGTGGGCCGCGCTGTGAGGAAGGCCCCGCTGACCGGGGAGGGGAAGGGTGACTGAGGCGCTGTCTCCGCCCGCCGCAGGAAGCGTTTTGGACCAGAGCCTGGAGAGCCTGCTGCACCGCCTGCGCGGCCTGTGCGACAACATGGAGCCGGAGACCTTTCTTTTTTTCCTGCTGAAGGGGCAGCAGGCCAGCCCCTTCGTGCTGCGGGCGCGGCGGTCGATGGACAAGAGCGGGATGCCCTGGCATTTGCGCTACCTGGGCCAGCCAGAAATAGGCGACAAGAACCGCCACGCGCTGGTGCGCAACTGCGTGGACATTGCTACTTCGGACAACCTGACGGACTTTCTGGTGGAGATGGGCTTCCGCATGGACCACGAGTTTGTGGCCAAAGGGCACGTGTTCCGCAAGGGCATCATGAAAATCGTGGTGTACAAGATCTTCCGCATCCTAATGCCAGGAAACACAGAGAGCATTGAGCCACTCTCCCTCTCCTACCTGGTGGAGCTCAATGTGGTAGCGCCGGCAGGACAGGACGTCGTTTCTGATGACATGAGGAACTTTGCTGAGCAACTGAAGCCTCTAGTGCACCTGGAAAAAATTGACCCTAAAAGGCTAATGTGATTGAAAAGCTGGGCACTTAAGGTGTTGGTTCAGTTAGTGGTGCTGAAGAGGGTGTTTTTCTAAAATGCCTTTTGAGGGCAAATCAAAGCTGGGAAAGGGCAATAAAGGACTATGTACCGGTGTTTTGGCAATTCCAGTTACAGAGTGTTTTTTCCTTCACTTGGGGATGTGAGCAAAACTGGGTACTTCTTAAATTAATACTATTCAAAACATCAGTAAATGCTAACATTGGTAGTTTTCCTTCTCCTGTTGGGGAGATACCTGTTAGAAAGCATATTGCCATGCCATCCAAAAATATCAGACTTGAATTTGTTCTTGTTGTGTACACATATCCCGGTGCTGCTTGCTTGGTTTTTGGTTTTTTTTTTTAAAAGCACCATTCATGTATTGTACTCTGTCATCCTTTTTTAAGTAATGCATGAAGTTAATACCCTTTAACGCAGGAGGTGCTGTTTAACGGTATACAAGCATACACCTATTTACAACAGAATGCTGAAGTAATAGCTTATGTAATGGAAACAGCCAGGACCCAAGATACTTTCATGAACCTGTTTCTGATATAACCAATGTTAAATTGGAAAACAATTTAGCAGTATTACAATTGCAATATGTCTTCAGATCTTTTAATTCTATTCCATCTTTTTCACTTAAGTTGGGCACAGCAGTCTTGAGTTAATGAGAAAGCAGTAACTTGCGTGGCATTTTTTACTATTAGACCTGACAGCAATTTTGAAAACAGACACATTAAACAATTAAGAGCATCGTACAGATGCTAACTGAACTAGTGATAATTTTGTTTAGCACCTCTCTTGATAGTAGGATGGTTACTTACGCTCCCTATGTTTCAATATTTGAATTAGGTTTGAGAATTAGGTTGAAACAAAAAAAAAGGTTGGAAAAACAACCAGGGTAAAGCAGCTTACTTACTTACATTTCTCAGATTCCTTACAGAAGCTAAGCATTTTACCCATTACTGAAATACACTGACCTCCATTGGATATACTGCCACCCTTTGGCACCACACAACCCTAATAACTGCAGGCAAAGACCACTCCCACAAAAACCTTCAAAAAAAGCCTTGTAAGTTAACAGCTACATTTTCCAACACTGGAGTTTGGACAGGATAAGCCCGGAGAACTGGGGCCGTGCTCACTGAGGGCAGCATCTCAAGTGTTCCACTGATGCAGGCTCTGTGCAGGGGGTGTGGGGACAGCTGAGCACTGAAACAGCAGCTGGGGAACGCCATGAGACGCTGAACACACAGCAGTGATTTCCAACAGGGGATGAGCAACGAGGTGACCTGTGCAGTCACCTAGACTGGGAGTGTTTTCTGGAGGGTAGGGACACACCTACAATTCTTTTGTTTGTACTCGGGCATGACTCACCCTCACCGGACAGCACATATCCCAAGAGACTGGAATTCTTTAGGATGCTGTCAAGAGGGTGTAACTTCCCAGGGGGTGAGGGGTAGGTAGGTCCCATGCTCTGCCTGTACCCGGGAGCTGAACTTGCTGGGCTGCTCTGTGATTCGGTTGCTGTCACACCTTGGCAGGTGGGAATCCTCAGGGCTGTTGTCATACCCTGCCATGGTAACACTGGCGAGGAATCGCTTGCTACAGACTTCCGGAATTTTAGAACCAAAGTCCAATGGGTCAGAGAAGTTTAGAGCTGTAAGCCAGCTGTTCAAGGGGTAGGTACTCCTAAGTACAGACACACAGAAAACAGTACGCAGGTCCTTCCTGGTGCATCTGAAAGGAACTCCCTGGGTAACTGCCCTCCATGTTTAAGTGGAGGGGCAAACAAATCACAGAGTGTTGATGTTAAGGTAATTGTGATAGACAGGAAAATCCCACTTGAAATTTCAGGCAGACCAGCTCAAGCAAGTGGAGACTGAATGGAGAGTTCCTAATTGAAAAGAAGTTTTTACACTTTAGATGCCAACAGGTCTGACTATTGCTTGGTCAAAGTTCTCAAAAATAAAAATGATCACTTAAAATAGTTCTTTTTAAGGAGAATGAGTTTAAACCTTAAAAATTACAGCAATCCACATTACCAGCCTTCCTTATTCTAGCTGTAGTCTATGCATGGAAGAGGCAGGTGTACAGAGAAAAAAAGCTTACTGTACCACGGGTTACAGCTGAAGAAAAATCACAGAATGTTAGGGGTTGGAAGGGACCTCAAGATCATCTAGTCCAACCCCCCTGCCAGAGCAGGACCACCTAGAGTAGATCACACAGGAACAAGTCCAGGCAGGTTTTGAATGTCTCCAGAGAAGGAGCCTCCACAGCCTCTCTGGGCAGCCTCTTCCAGTGTTCTGTCACCCTCACAGTGAAAAAGTTTTTCCTTATGTTAATGTGGAACATAAAAACTTAAAATGGACACTTTCAGCATCTAATGCTCAGAGTATCCCTTTCTTTTATCTAATGAAATACATTTTTCTCCTCCTATGAAACTGCTTTTGTAGCTGAAGACTAAGGATAATAGCAATACTATTAGTAAGGGTAATCAACAATACTGGTAAATTGCATGGCATAACCCTAACTAATTATCATTCATTTTATCTAAGGTCAAATTATATTGTAGTTATACAGACAGCTACAGAAATGCTCAACCTCTCCTCACTGGAAAGTACGTATTTTTTAAATTACAGGCATAACTTATGGGACCAAGAACGTGACTGTATTTTTTAAATTTTATTTTAGGGGGATTTCTTTTTGCCAGCTACAATAGCTGTGTTTTTCAAGGGCAGGGTTTACCTCAGGACTCTGTTGCCGTGTATTACCCAAGGCCTGAGGCAGCTGAGCTTAAGGAAAGTTTTCTTCTGTAAGTTTGCTCTACAGAACTTGATCTCAGTTCTTAAAAATTCTTCATACTTTAGGAGAAGCCACACGTTTGCCCTGTGGCACTTTTCAGTCCCGTATCTCTATTCTTCCCATGGAAACTCCTGTAATGATGTTGGTTCTGTGCTAACAAAGACAAGAGCTGAAATACTTTGGAGGTGCTCTATATTAAGACTATGTTCTATGATTGTATGCCTCTGATATGCTAGCACAAAATGAGCTTTTCGATATGTAAACTGATGTGGCTTTCAAGTTTTCATCTCAGTAGCCTCAGTAACACAAGCAAACTGCTCCCCTGTTAAATGTTTTCCATACATTTATAATACTGTATATAACTTTATCCATGATCCAAAGGTTGGTTAATAGGTAAAATGTTTTAAATAGGTTTCTTTAAAAGACTGAAAGTTAAAAATAACTACAAACCAGGGTTTTTCTTCATATTTTTTAATACTTTTCACTTTTAAATACTGGGTTTAAATTTGTGATTGTAACATGGAAGAGCTAACTTCTTTTAATTTTTAAAACTTATCATTAGGATCATAAAGCTATTATAGAACAAACAGTTACACTCTACACACTCAGAAGTACTCAAAAATATGATTCATGTTTTAAGTCTGTAGATGAACAGTGGGAATTCAAATACAGCGTTATCTGTACAACTTGACAAAAATACAGGTGGACAATCTGGTTAAAGAGAATCTGCACAACTTCAGATAAGCCAGCTCAGCCCAATTAAGTAATTTTTATTATTTTATTTTCCAAAGTGCATCAGATTTTTCACAGATAAATTTGTCAAAGTAAGATGCTTAGGTTCTCACACAGCATAACAATGACCACCTCATCCTCATTCCCAATACAAGTTCTATCAAGTCATTTACTTCAGATCTGGTTTGGCAATGTCCAAATTCTCCAAACGGACACAGATATACAGAAACAATATCTGATGGAGAAGATAGCTGTGTTCTCAGCCCTTCAAATTGGCTCAGCTTGTAAAAACACCCATTCTAGAGTCAGGAGCTGCTTCTGCAAAGACGACCACTGCTGTGTAAGTAAGTACTACCAACCTACGAACGGGAAGAAGTGAACTCTGAGCGCACAGACAGGTGGCAGTGACTGAGAACAGAGACAGGCTCAAGAGACAGGGCAAGTTTTGTAAAACCATAGAAGCAAGATCCCTTCTAGAAGAAAGGATCTAATGGCTACTTGCACAAGGACAATCTGACAGGGCTACAGAGAACTGCCTTTTTTTTAAATTTGTTTTTAAAGAGGTCAATTAATACCAATTCCTCAATCTTGCAACTCTTTCCATATTCTTTAAGAAGCCTCTTACAACTCTGATTGGGCAGGGCTAGCTGTAGTGAAGTACCAGTGCCTTTATCTAAAAGTAAAATGTATTCTTTACAAATAGTATCTGTAGTGTAATTTTATTTACAGAATAAATCGCAAAAGTACATCACATTTAGTGCAAATGCAACTAATGATATAAGTTTATATACTGCTTTGTAAACTTTCCATACCTTTGTAAAATAAAGCTATCCAATTAAATTAATAAACTCGCCTGTGTTCCAACAATTACCAGAAACGGCAAACAAGGAGTTAAATTCTTTATATTCTGGATTTTTTTTTTTTTTTTTTTAAAGTTCCCATCAGTGGCTATGGTGGAATGAACCATTGCTTGGTTGACTGTAAAAAGATGAAATACATTTGAGGTATAAGATTTTTTTTTTAACATCACTATATAAAATGCTCACTGGTGATGTAGTAAACATGTACAAATTTTCATCTTATTTGCCTTACTAGCACTACCATATAGGCACTTTTCTACATATTCAAATTAACAGAGTAACTCTGTAATAAGGCATATTCCATGCACACCATTAGAGAAAGGCAAATAAAAAGGGAAGAGTTATGGAGCATGAAATCTGCATGCATGTGTAATCACGTGTTATGTATGATTTCATCTCTACAGAGAAGACGAACAGTTGAAGTTTTTCAACACTGTGCAGGTAACATTTAATCATTTACCAAATCTCCATTAAGTTACTGTATTATATTTATTTTCAGGCACCTACCACACTATATCAAATAAGACTTTCAGCTTTCTTTTGAAAAATTAGATCTGAAACCTTTTTCTCAAGATACACAGGTTAGTGAGTCACCAAGCAGCCTCTGAAGAGTTTCCAACTACAGGACACGGATAAAAGACCTGGAAGTCAGTACCAGTCTGCCACAGTCCTCTCCTAATGAGCATGTCCCAAATATCTGACATTTAAATTCTCACAGC